AACACTAGCAGTCGGGAAATATTCTGATTTGCCAGGGCAGCGGTTTTGGAGTTTAATCGCGCGATTGCATGTGTGGGCCCCGTGTAAATAGACGGCCGCACGTTTTCACAATGGTGCGTGTCTCTCATTGAAAGAAATAAAACACCAGACAGAGCAGAGTTACGTGTCGTCACCGTCGCAGCAAATAAGAAACCGTGCAGGTCTGCCGCCCAGAATTTATCCGGGTGTCGTTTTATCGCACGGACGCGTGTGTACGTTTGCCTGAAGATGATTGACGATGATTGTTTCACGACCAGTGTCGGTACTTCAAATATTTAGAAGACCGCATGGAGTCAACCTGCCGAATCACTTCTAGAAAGCAGGCACCAACGCTCAAGTGTTTACGACAAATGAAACAGGGTGAAGGGACATCTATATCAAATTTATGTACTGGATGGAGGCATGTAGGGGAAGTGGGGAGTGTGTCGAGTAATCAACACCCCATACCCCCTCTCCCTCTTCCCCCCTCCCCCACGTGCCAACCACCCCTTAGTGATGGGTAATCTTCGTCGTTGGTATGTCAGCGTCCGGGCGAGGCATCGGAAGAAGTCAGTTCCCACTCGTGGGGGGAGTACCGGACCTTGTCCCGACAGTGCGACGTTACAGCTCAATAAATCTCTTTATGGGTGCCGCCATAGCACATGTAGCCGTGGTGAGAAATCAGAGCTACGTATGAAGGCAAGGAAGGCAGCGCATGGCATCACATTTATTTATATTCAGCATATCCACTATGCTACATGAGCTGACTGTTAGCCTGAGCGCTGACTTGTAGCATACCGGATAACTAGGGTATAAGCGGCCGCCCCCCGATGAGGCGGGACGGCCACCTGGAGGCAAAATCTTTACTATTGTGTGATAAGCCGTGCATTGGCCGAGACGGACACGACGACCACGAAATACGCGGAGGTCGTAATTTTCATGTTCTTTAATGCGGAACAATGACTTTGACGTAATATTACTCGCACCAAACACTTTGGCGTCCGTATATAGAATGTCGGCACCATCGCACTTAGAATATACGAAAATGATGTACGCTTGAAGGAGAAGCCGAAATGAACGCGGAATATCGGAAACGCGCAACAAGAAAAGACACCGCAGAAGAAACCAATAATACGTGTAAATTAATGTCCGGGTAACGGTCGGACCATGGTTCGGCCATGTGTCAAAATATGAGCCAAACGCAAAATGCAACCTACTACATACGCTTGTGTTGCTGCTGCCGAACTACATAACACCGCACATCGTGTATTTTGAGTATGTCTACTGCTGCTTGCTGGTGCGCACACCGATGTTTGTGTTGTAAGACTAAAAACTATGTTATTGACGGTCCAACTTGCACATTGTTGCCAACCTGAATGTTTGGTCCCGGTCAACACCAAACAAAGAAGAACTGCTCAAGATTCACCAAAATGTGGTTGTACACGTAGCAGAAGAAATCGGTATTACGTGTGTTATGCGGTTAACGATCGGACCATGGACCGCCCACGTTTTAGAACATGAGTTGACCGCAAAATGCAACGCATTGCTTACCACGGCATAACCTTGGTTATTGCAAGTGTTGTCATAATGAAAGTAGAACAAAAAAAAAATGAAATGGAAGTATTGGAGGTAGGTCGAACACCCTCCTTACCGCAGAATTGCGTACTCTCGATGTAAAGAGGGTTCGTCTTGCGGACGAATATGAAGCATCCTTGACTGTTCATCGTCTAGGCGCTAAATCGTTCGGTCCGTCCAATTAACTCCTGGTGTATTGTTGCGAAGGCGGCACATACCTGAATGTAAGCGTGAAGACAGCAGCAGGTTTACGTTGTTGGCTTGTCAATCTGGATGAGGTGGTAGTAGTCGGTGGCATACCTAAAGGTACGCGCGATGAAGGCAGCTTACCGTTGTTGGTTTGTCGATTCGGATGAGGTTAGGTGGTGCGGAAACGTATGAACCGTTCGGGCACATGCGTAGAGGGTTGTGCGCGGAATAACTGCTATCGTTTCGGATTTTTTCTTCATCAATTATGTGTGTGATTGCTTGATTGGATAAATATGAGGTGATGTTCGAGTTGAAAGGCGATTCCCCTGCAAAAAATTGGCACGACGACATACAGCTGCCGTGGTATACAGAGACGTATCCATACGTGCGAATGACGTTTTTGTTCTGTAGGTTACATACGCAGTATGTACAGATGCACGACGTATGTACGGATGGATGTGATATTTCTGCAGGACGTGGTCTGTCTGCAGGCAGGTTTATACCGTACACCACTGTAATTTGTTCAACAAGCGTGGAAAAACTTGCACAATAATGATGTTGTGCCAATTTCCCCAACATTTGTGGATTTTGACGCTCCACAATCTTGTGTTGGATAAGAACGGGCAACAAAACACAACAAAATGACTAAAAATTGCTAAGAGCATACTAAAATCAAGATGTACGCCCCATAAGCTCTTCTGCTACATAAGTATGCATAATTATGTACATCTAACGCAATTAAAACGCAAAGATTAAAATCAAGAAGTTCAGCAGGATTCGCCACCACGCAAACATGAGGAGCTTAATTTTGTATTTATAAGCTTCACGACGTACGTTTGAGTTTTCAGCCCACAAGAAGTTGAGGCTGGACGTATGTGTCGTTTCGAAATTGCTGGCGCGAACGGTACATGCAGATATGCGAGATGTCATCATAACCTTCCTTGAAGTGGTCTGGTAAGAGGGTGGGCGTGCGGACGATATACAAACGTGCACAGATCCCTGGGTGTTGGTACACGCTTGATCAATAAATGCGCGAGTGCGGGTGTAATGTTTTCCTCCCTCCTCGCTGTTTCTGGGGGTCTTGTCTTGGCGTTGCTGCGTGCTTGATATCGACACTCGGTGCGGATTTTGACGTTACGAAAAATCACACCCGCATAGAGCAGAGTCGACGACTTGTTGTCCCATTCATTGTGGTCGTGTCATATCCGTCACTTTCAGTTGTCGTCGAAAATTGACCGCCTCCGTGTCGTGTGAATGTCAGATCGAAGTCCCATTCCTTGACCACTAGCCACGTGACAATGTTCCATGCTGGCACAGCCCGTCAATGATGGCAAGCCTGGACGCCCACAACCCATGGACGCCTGCTGGCTTCGGGTCTCGCCCCGCGGAGTACGTGGCGTGGCACATCAGGACTGCTCATGGAGAGACCAAAGAGTCATTCTCACCAGATGTGCACCCATACATTTTCAACGGTCAGACATCAGCTGCGGTGTTCCCGTTGTTCCTGTCTGCCACCTCCCACGCGGAGAAGGCCTGCCCGAAAGTTTATGAGGACAACATTCCGATCATGCCGGTGTACATATCTTCAAACAGGTAAGAGATCCCTACCTTCCCCTGGCGAGACGAAGAACGGCATCACCGCGTATCACCTTCGCATTAATTCATCTTGCGACCGGGCAACTCCTCTCTGAGCTCAACGAGTCAATGCACAACATAATGTCGTCGTTGTCCCCATATGCCCGAACCTCAATTGTTTCGCGGCAGTACATCAGCTCGCTCATTGTACTTCCTGCGTTGGTTGTCATTTGCGTTACCTCGAAGACCTTTCCGACCTGCCCTTGTCCCCTGCAACTGCTCTAACCCTGCAGCAAGAGCATGTCGCGAAATTGCACCGCACTAGCTGCTGAGAACAAGATCCAGTCAGGGTTCGTTGATCTCGGTATTGCCGACAGTGACGCCCACACGGGTTACAGTGCGAACCCGGATGCGACGGCCTTAAACGCGTTCATCGACTACCTGTATCTGATGGACTCGTCAATCATGGTGCACACTGGGTCGTCGTTCTCTTTTACTGTCGCAAGTATCAAGGGCACGAGGTGCCGCGGAGTGCCAAAGGCTAAGGACGCGCCTGTCAGGTCGTTATATATATGCTTGCCGGACGATTGCTAAATGTTGGGCGTGGAATCGAAACCTCGGAGTTCGTCTGTTTTTGGGCGCAACTGGCGTATTCCATGGGTACACTGCTAGCGACGACGCTTCGCGCTTACCACGTATAGTGGATTTCGTGTAGCATTTACTGTAGTGTTGCGATGTCCTGAAATGTTTTTTCTATCCAGTCGGCCAACATTTTAGTAGCCAGCGCGGCTGAAAACGGTTTGAGGCGTACCAGCCTACAGTATCGCCCTCCGTTACGCAAATCGCCAACAGCCTTTTGATGTGTCAGTTTTCTTCAAGAAGAGGTACGGTAGTTCGACCACAGTGAGTAAAATACCGCAATGGCGGCAGGTCTTGTCAGTGGCTGAGATGAACGAGTATGACACGTGTTCCGGTTCCCTCTTGCTTGCGCCTTGTGAAGTTGATATTGATACTCAACTACAAACATCAATACACGAACGTTCCACAACACAACATATGGATTGGATTCATGTTTACCCCGCGGGGCGTCGAAACGGAAACTCAATCCAACACGATGTAACTTGCCTTCGGTGCCACCCTCGTTTCGGCATTTTCGGCCGATTTACGAGCACTCTGGATATTATTCAAATCCCCCGCTGAGTATTAACACTGGTACCTCCCAAACGCGGGGACCACTACTGTACTCGGTGGATGCTCTCGTATCTGCGAGAGAGAGTGCATTTGGATGAGGTCTGAGGCAACGTCGCGAGCTTGTGTTTCCATTTGCATTCCTCATTCATCTTCCAATCCTAACCCCGTATCAATCAATGTTGTTTAGGTTGTATGACCACCTTTTACTTTTTGAAACCCTATAGTCTTAGACTAAGTTTCTGTCAGCGGAATTGGGGAGTTTCGGAACACGGTTCGACACTTTTCGATTTAGGTGGAAGGCTCCATTTCTGGGAACGTTCCTCAAAGCGGGGGAACATCGAGCTCCTAAATATGAAAGGGGGCGATCAGATTTAAAGAAACAGAGGCCGGGCGCCGCTTTTTCCTAAATCGAAAATTACCTTTCATATTGTATAGAGCACACACAAGCAAGCATGGCTTCCCGTCAGAGCTCGAGGGTCGTCACCCCCACGGAAAAGGTCTTGGCCCTAGAGGCTTCCCGCCAGACCGCGGCGCGTAGGGAAGCAGGTGACTCTTCGCGCGCGTCCTTCAGGGCGGCAGGCGATGGGCACGCGCAAAAGGTGATGAGCTTGGGTGGAGAAGAGACTCCGGTGCAGGGGGAGGACTCCGACGCTGAGGTGGTAGCTGTGGACAACCCATCGAGTGCGGCTCCCGCGGGCAAGAAGAAGAAGAGAGTCTCCCCGAAGTGGAGCACGTGGTCGGACTTGACGCTGATGAAACACGGTGAGTTTGTGCGACCATCAGACAAAGCGAACATGTTGTGCTGCTGCTGTAGACTACAGACCATGCATGCACAGCTGGCACGCATATGCACTCGTTACCACCGAACACGATGCATCATGATCGCTCATCATCATGGGGACACCTATTGTGGTAGAGTTCCTGCATAGCGTCCGGTTGTTTTGTATGTAGGACCTGTGCGTGCACTCGGTCCGAAGACTTGGCTTGTGGTGAGGTGGCGAGCTGTTGTTGGTGGATAACACAGCACAGAGCACATACATACATGCTTTTGGGTTGCAGCAGGGGTACCACACCAGCCTATCTGTACGAGATGATGATGTTCCGCGGCGCGTTTGGTTTTGTGTGTAGGGCGGAAGTTGAAGGTGATGTGGAGAGAACATGCGTTGAGTAAGCAAAGTGCGGTGGCGAAGAACAGCTGGCGGTCACCAGCAGAAGCAAGGAAGACCGCATCAGCTCGACGATCGGTGTCTTACTTTTTTCAAATTCAAATTTCCTGTTTCGCCGCAACAGCCGGCGCCGAGATGGGTAGGATCCCTCCCGCCTGCGTCTCTACTGCTGTACAGCAGTGGACCCGATGCCCTTGCTTGAATGGGGGGCTTAGAACAGGAATTGTGTCTCTTACCACCCGACTGCTGTTCCTGTACAGCAGTATAACGAGAGCGGGCAGCTCTGGAGGTATGTACAGCAGTGGTTGCCGTGGCACAGGAATGTGTGGCGAAAACGTTACAGCATCCAAATTTCTATTCCACGGTGCGCCCAAGTGTGCCTGCTATTCTACTTACCACATTTGCATCCGTCCGGGTAGGTTTGTTCGGAGAGGTGTTAGGCGTCTCTTCCGAAAAGTACTCCGGCCCCATGGGCTCTTCACCGACAACTTCGCATATATTTCGTGCTTGTTAACACTATTTCTATGTCGCGGCAGCTATCAAGCACAAGACCTGGCGAGTGGCTGGCCTGACCGACAGGGTTGAAGACAGGTGGGCATTAGTCGTCGAGGACTTGAGCAAGGAGCCGTATATGAGAGTGTTCGGCAGCAAGACGGTCAAGCATTGGAAGTCGCGCTTCGACTCGCATATTCGCGCTCAAACGAAGAAAAACGAGGAGGCGGCAAAAGCATCCGGAGCAGGGAATACCTCCGCCGAAGACCTCGAGGGAGAAGAAGCCGAGCTGGTGAGAAGCTAATCGGTTAGATAACGGAGATTTGTTTGCCTGCTGTTATATACCTATATTATTCATATCAGTGTTTAGTTGACAACGATCATTCGGGGTAGCCCGCTGCCTGTATGTGACGAGTTCGTTCAGCTGCATGCGTTCGCGAAAAACATGCAAGAAGTCAAGAAAGTCTGTATGCAAACGCGGGAATGTGCAAGTGGAGCAACGGGAGACGTGACATTTGCTGCTGGTCTTGCCGCGCTTCCACCGTTTTGCGTCGGGTCATGTTGCTCCTTTTTCGTAGGAGAAGCTGGTGCAATTCGCGGTAGACTCCAGGGCCGGGGAGAGGGCCGACAGTCGACAGGAAAAGGCGAGGAAGGCGGGTAAGAACTTGCTTGGGCTATCAGCCATTGACATGGGCAACAGCCGGTGCGGACCGGGAGCAGCGGCGACGACCTTCGGAGAAGCTCACGCCAGCGACGAGCGCCGGATGAGTGGTGTCATTCCCAACAGGCGACGCATGCCTGGGTTCACGCCGTCTGGTAGTGGAAGCGGCCGATCGAGCCCCGCTAACATCGGCGGTGTGGCCGGTTTCGGTGGTAGTGGTAACCCTAGCGGTAGCGGTAGCGGCCGATCCAGCCCAGATACCGCCGGTGGGGTTAGGGTTAGGGTTGTATTGACCAATTTTCTCAACTATAAAGAATTTGCTTGGAACCGTTTTTCAAACACTCACCCAGACGTACTCTGCAAGCACGACAAAAAAGACGGAACCACTTTTCATGCAGAGGGTTAGGGTTAGGGCCCCCTTTCTGTCACGTGTCACAGAAAACAGGGTTGAAGATTGAAAACAGGATCTCAGATTGAACCACTGTTTTCAAGGTGTATGTCTTGGCTTAGGGCACCCTTTTTCTCACGTGCCACAGAAAACAGGGTTAGGAGATTGAAAACAGGATCTCAGATTGAACCACTGTTTTCACGGTGTATGCCTAGGGTTAGGGTTAGGGTTAGGGTTAGGGTTAGGGCCCCCTTTTTGTCACGTGCCACAGAAAACAGGGTTGGAAATTAAAAACAGGATCTCAGATTGAACCACTGTTTTCACGGTGTATGCCTAGGGTTAGGGCCCCCTTTCTGTCACGTGTCACAGAAAACAGGGTTGGAGATTGAAAACAGGATCTCAGATTGAACCACTGGGTTAGGGCCCCCTTTCTGTCACGTGTCACAGAAAACAAGGTTGAAGATTGAAAACAGGATCTCAGATTGAACCACTGTTTTCAAGGTGTATGTCTTGGCTAAGGGACCCCTTTTTCTCACGTGTCACAGAAAACAGGGTTGGAGATTGAAAACAGGATCTCAGATTGAACCACTGGGTTAGGGCCCCCTTTCTGTCACGTGTAAACAGAAAACAAGGTTGAAGATTGAAAACAGGATGTCAGAAAAAACCAC